ACAGACTTCTTTGTTGGCCTCCATCATGCCAATAACGTGGGTGGTGTGCAGATTCTAGCTCTCACACAGTTGTCGCTGACATTTTGGCCCAGTGTGCAGACTTCCTCAAGCCTGGAGCAGATATCACGCAGATATTGCCAAGCTTCTGGGACATTCCTTCGGGCTTTCATGGGCGTTCATCCTCAGTCGTGGTCTCTGGCACCCCTATCCACAGACCAAAGGGCCAATATCGTGAGAACGGGAAGGCAGTCTCAGGACCCAGCCAGAACCTCGATTTCGAAGTCGAGTTTGGCATGGTCATCGGACGACCAAGTCAAATGGGGAAAGCTGTTCCCGTGGACCAAGCAGAGGAACATATCTTTGGATTTGTTTTGTTGAACGACTGGTCCGCGCGAGACTTTCAAAAGTGGGAGCCCAGTGCGCCCTTCACCTGTAAGAACTTTGCCACGTCGATATCGCCTTGGATTGTCCCGTTCGAGGCCCTGCAGCCTTTTCGGGTCTCCCCAATCAATGTGGATGTAAGTCAATTCGGTCCATTGAGAATCTTAACTACGTCTGAATGACCATTTTACAGCGTCCACTTCCAGATTACTTGAGGCAGAATGAGACCAGATCCATCTTCGAAGTTCCCATTCGAGCAACACTAGAAGGTGAATCAACTTGCCACCTGCCCTGGCTTACGAGGCCTGTTACTGATACGGGTTTCTAGTTGGAAAAACCAGGTATGCAATGGCAGAATGCAATACCAAGTTCATGATCTACTCTTTTGCCCAGATGATTGCTCATCACACCCGTGGCGGCTGCCCGCTGCGGCCCGGCGATATTATGGCCACGGGGACAATGTCTGGACCGACCAAATCAGAAGAAGGGTGCTTCCTGGAGCTTTCTCGATACGGAACACAACCTTACGAAATGTGGGCAGAAGGGTCCTCGTCTGGAGAAAGCATTCGCCGAGCATATCTCGAAGATGGGGATATGGTTGAATTCTCTGCCCAGATCGGGACGAACGACGGCCCTGGAAACGTGGGGTTTGGAATTTGCTGTGGCGAGGTGCTGCCAGCCAATTGAGGCTGAGAACGGCGGGATGGAAGGTACAGAACTTGCAACCTATAGGCAACGAGATCGATAAATGAGAAATCGAATCACGTTTCTGCATCCCTAGGCTTTGGCCCCTATCTATCGAGCTTGGTACGGAGTTAACTTTGCCGTTGTTAAATGCCGACAGTCTGGTCCGAAGAATACCGTTCGCATAGTCTCAGTTAGTACTCATCGGCTTCGAAGTGGGAGACACTTCCCTGTTATCAGAATATAGACCATCTGGAGTCTTCCGGTGTAGCCAAATGACATGCAAAGATTAATAGTATCATCTCAGAACACAAGCCTGGCTCAGCCTAGCTCCAAAGGGACAAATTGCACCCACCTCCGATCAGGACGGGATGAACATCTGTTTTGACGGATTCAAAAGGGCTACACAGCTCAAGACTGTCATAGAAGACCTACTTTACATCATTTAGAATCTCTGATTTCAGCGCACTTTCGTGGCAGCGGATTGTGGAAAGAGTTTCGAAGCCGTCTCTTCTCGCGCTCTGGTGCCTCGATAGGGTAGACACCGAACAACCCTGGCAAGGATCGCCATCTTCTATCCCACCCGTTGCATGGGTCCGATGCTATTACCGTCAAGATAGGCAACGGCAATGAAGGCGGCAAAAAGTCGAAGGTAAGGGTGGCAGTCCTGCGTAGACAGCCTGGCTTTGCTAAGGCGCCAAATTGATCCCCATTTTCCGCAGGGGCCTCCCCCACAGAAAGAAATGCGATATCTGGGGTACAAGGTGTCCGAACCGAAGTGGCTATAGACCTTCTTGGGCACCAAATTGGTAACATCTTGACCAATGACCTTTGTTCTTTGGACCTGAACTGCATCGGGGACATCAAACTCTCTTTCATCGGGTCGGGGGCCATCCTCTCAACAGTAGAAATGGAGGTGCCCGAAGACCCCTGGCTGTTTTAACCATTCCAATCAGAACGAATGTCCTCCTGAGTTTTCCTGTCGCAGTCTGAATCCACATTTTTAGTTTGGGATGCGGCGGACCTTGTGGTATGCTGGGTATCGAATGTGATTCATATCTCTTCGGGTCGGACGACACCACTGCTATTGAATCGGACGAGCCGAGATGATCTCTGGTACCAGGTCAGTCTACAAAAGGACGGAGTATCATGCCACTGAAGTTGAGTGAATGGTAAGTGAATGAAGCAAAAATGGTTCTTCTCATCTATCTTTCCGCAATCGCCATTGTGGCCGTTGGCGTGATATATACCGTCCAATATGTTGGTGCAAGGGCCAGCAACCTACCCCCAGGTATGCTCAACTTCTCAGGAGCTCACCATTCCCAACAATGCGTAAATGTATTTCTGACTGATTACAGGACCGCCAACATTGCCTATTCTTGGAAACCTTCATCTGCTGCCAGGAAAGGGCTTGCATCTTAAGTAATTCCCATGACATTCTGAATATCCACTCTTGGACTAATCAGGTGAGCCCCAGACTCACAAAATGGGCGAAGCAGTATGGCGGCATATACTCCCTGAAGATGGGAACCGGGACCGCAGTTGTCCTCACCGACCGCCGGATCGTCAAAGAGCTTCTGGACAAGAAGAGTTCTATATATAGTGCAAGACCGCAGTCGTACCTGAACGACCTCATTAGTGGCAGCGACCACATGCTCGTCATGCATTATGGGGAGGCCTGGAGGCACTTCCGTAAGATTTCACATCAGCACTTTATGGAAACCATGGTCGAGAAGGAGCACGTCAAAGTCCAGGAAGCCGAGGCTGTACAGATGATCCGCGACTTTATCATTTCTCCAGAGCAACATATGGTCCACCCGAAGAGGTTCAGTAACAGCATTGTTATGAGTTTGAGTAAGTGGACACCTCGACATTTGCCTCTTCTCCTTTTGTTGCTCTCCCACGATTAGACCGGTCGCTGACACCTGATCGCTCCAGTCTATGGGCATCGCAGTGCTACTTGCAACGAACCGTACATGGTGAGGCTTTACGAGATCATGGACCAGTTGAGCGTGATCAATGAGATTGGCAACACCCCACCTGTGGACGTTTACCCCTTCCTGCGCTGGGTTCCTGAACAACTACTTGGCATGTGGGTGACCCGAGCCACCAAGCTCTACAACGATGAAAACTCTCTCTTCAGTGATTTGCTCGACATGGTCCAGGCAAGACGCGAGAAGGAGGGAAGTAAAGATACCTTCATGGACAGGATCATCGAGCAGGCTGAGAAGGCGGGACTGAACCGGCACCAGCAATATTATCTCGCCGGAACAATGCTAGAAGGGGGATCGGACACGTCGTCTGCCATCCTCATCGCTTTCATCCATGCCATGACCAAGTGGCCCGAGATCCAGCTGAAAGCCCAAGCAGAAATTGATGTCGTTATTGGTGAAGAGCGATCACCTAACTGGTCCGACTACGCACGCTTGCCGTATGTTGCAGCTACTGTCAAGGAAGCCAACCGCTGGAGACCCATTGTACCGCTGGCTTTTCCCCACGCTGTTATAGAAGGTAAGTAAAAAACACCGTCGTGACAATTTGCATACAGTTGACATCGACTTCAGACGACTATATCGACGGGTACTTTATCCCCAGGGGAACTACTGTTATTCTCAACTCGTGGGGTTTACACCACGATGAAAGAAAGTTCCCTCACCCCGAGAAATTTGACCCTGATCACTACAAAGGCCAAACAGAGCTTGCACCGGTTTTGGCTGCAGCGGCTGACTACGAAGTCCGCGACCACTACGGCTACGGCACCGGTCGCCGAATTTGTCCAGGCATTCATCTCGCAGAGCGCAACCTCTTCCTCGGCATCGCCAAGCTACTCTGGGCTTTCAGCTTTGCCCCGGGTAAGGACGAGCAGGGGCGCGTGATTGAACCGGACGTGGAACCCATGACAGCCTATAGCCCGGGATTCCTTTCCAGTGCTCTTCCCTACGCCGTGGAAATCAAGCCAAGATCCCAGGAACGAGTCGAGACGATCATGCGGGAATTCCAGGAAGCGGGGGAGGTTTTTGCCAAATATGAAAGATGAAAAAAAAAAGCAAATATGTAAAGGATGAACAGCGGATTGAGTTTGAAATAACTTGTGGGAAGTATACGCCTTCGTGAAGTGGGAAACCGCCGGATGCGGATGTAAGGCTGTCAATAGTGAGGGACAGTACTGACTAGCAGTGTCAAAGGACACTTGCATGAGTATTGTTCTGTTTCCGAAACCTTTCTACCTCAACCTGTGGTCACTCTATCACTTGTCCTGAATTGAAGCGGTGTGGATGGCGAGCTGTTGTCCTCCAACAGCTCTATGCTGTTCTAGGCTGACGGAGAGGTGGCGCTAAGTTGTCCTGTCCATATCTTTTCCTCTCACCATCCCACTCCTTGGGTGGCTAGACTAGGCTGCTGACGAGCTCTTCAGTCCCGATATTTAATGCCGGCAAGGTCGCCTACCCATGCCAAGTCTATATACCCCCATATTTCCCCGCGTCTGGGGTTGATCCCGACCCGAAACACTCCACTTCGGACTTGAAATCTACTGGCTTGTTGCTTCATTACATGTGTACTTTCTTTTTGGTGGTGTCCTCTTTCGGTCATGCGTACCTTTAGTACCTAGCATTTTTCTGATTCTCCTTCGCACCAGACTTTCTAAAGGCACAAGCATGGGACGGGGAAAAGACCGCCCAATTTATCGCGGGAAGTGCTCGAAAGCTTGCGAAACGTGTCGGCGAAGGAAGGAAAGATGCGATGGCCGGCAGCCCTGTGGGCGATGCATCTCTCGCAAAGTCGCCTTCGAGTGTCAACCTGCGCAACAGCGTTGCGCCGCCCGCTCTCGTGATGCTCCGGGGCTAGGACATGAACAGGGGCTGCAACGACAACAAGCGGACGAAGACGTGACTTTCGGTGACGCGATAGACGATGCCCAAGGCTTCTTCCACCACATGGAACTGCAACCTTCTTCCTACGAAGCAGACAACACGTGCCGAAGCCGCGCCTTGGACGGCTCGCCTTCGGCGTCGGCGCATCACCATATGTCGCGGCTGCTCCGCGATTCGCAGGGCAAATACATGTTCATCGGCGACTCCGCCAATCTGTCCTTCTTGCAGAGCATTCGGAAAGTGGTCGAGGACGCGATAGGTCATTGCGCTTTCGCAACTGACCCGTTGCGATACCAGATGCTTGAGGCCGCGCCAGATGGACGACCGAACTGGCTATACACAGCGTGCAAGGGCACCCCACCGACCCCGACCCCGGTGGAGGCAGAGTCCCTCGTGCGGTCCTACTTCCTGGCCAACAACTGCGTCCTCGACCTCTTCGACGAGGCGGATCTATTCAACAATCTGCAGCCTTGGCTCGAAAGGAGACCCGTCGAGACCGACGCCCTGACCCCGATATACTATCTCGTCTTCGCTTTGGGCGCGCAGACCTGTCCGGACGACAAAGATCAGCTCGCCGAAACGTATTTCAGCTACGGCCGCTTCTTTACCGCCGTCAGCTTTGCTGAAGACCCCAGCATCTCTACGGTCCAAGCGTACGCCATGATTACCATGTACCTCCTCGGAGCCTCTCGGAGGAACGCGGCATTTATGAATCTGGGAACGGCTGTGCGAGCCGCATACGCGCTTGGGCTCCACCGCAAGGAGATCGCAGCTCTCTTCACCCCCGGCGAGTTCAGGACCCGCGAGAGGCTGTGGAAGGTGATCCGCATCCTGGATGTTTTCATGAGTGCCTCCCTCGGGCGACCCCCGTCCACGGCAGAGACGCGCGAGACGCGATCCGAAGACCACTATTCGGCATCGGTCGATCTCTGCACCGTGTTCGAGACGATCATGAACGAAGTCTACTCCAAGCGCATGATATCCAACACGGCGCTGGAGAAGATAAGCGGGCATCAAAGGCACTGGGCGGCCAACTTCCACAAGGGCCTGGACGAAGACGGCATCAAGCCGACGCCGGCTATCAACGGCGGCAAGTCTCCCAACATCGGGCTCATGCATGTCAAGGGAGCATATTACTGGACCATCATACTGCTTACACGTCCATTTTTGGTCGATGCGGTCTCGTCCTGTATCGCCACCGCGAACGTGCCGCCGAATGAAGCGACCTCTGCCGGCGTGACATCTTACTCGGACAAAGTTCTTGTGCACGCCTGTGTGGATTCGGCGATCCGCACCATCGAGCTCCTGCGGATCCTGCTTGATTTCGACAACGTGCCGAAGCGGCTCCCCTTCCTGGTCAACTACATCTTTGTCGCCGCCCTTGTCCTCGGTTTGGCTCACTTCGGCGACGTTGCCAAGATCTTCCCGGTGGGCGTCCACCTGAAACTGGCACATCGGCTGCTCGCCATGTTCCCCAACGACGCCATCTCCAGCAGGAACACCACAATCGTCGAATATCTGCTGCATGCTTGCGACACCGTGGCGGAGAGGCGCACCAAATGGGACCGGGACCGTTGTGCCGTGCTGGTCCGAGGTATGTTCGGCAAGATCCACGATGACCCTGCTCCGAGCGTGGGATGGTGCTCGGCCTCTTCCACCACGCACATGTCGACGACGACAACGACGGCGGCGGCGGCGCATGGCTCGACAGGGCCATGTCCACAGATGGATGAAGGACTTCGGCTGCCCCTCGAGGAGGGCGCCCAATACGACAGCACGGCGCCATGCAACCTCATGTCCCAAACCAAGGATTCTAGCGGCGGAGCTGCCGCTGGGTGCGCAAAAGCAAGAGACAAGGGATTGGTCGGATCTTTCGCGCCGATGGAGGAAGCAAGCATGACGCAGGAAGACTTTGAGAAGGTCCTGCAAGCCATGTCCCCCACGACGCTGTGGTTCGAGTCCTACGATGACAATTTTCCGCTCTTTTCAACGACGGACGCTCCCAGTACCTAATTCTTTGTTTGGAACGACCCCTCGGATTTTTTTTTGATACCCATCATGTGTAGCCGGGAGAGGAAGGCGGTGGGGATTGTACCACAAGTTGCTCAACTCGTTAGAGAAGCGGGAAAAAAAGGGGAGGGGCAGCCGAGTAGCAGGCTCTCTACATACTTATCAGTCCGCTTTAGGGCGCGACCGAAGTGAATTCTGTGGTGGGCCGCTTGGCATGGCCTGACACGAGGATTAGCTCTAGAAGTGGCAGCCTACATATACCAATCAGGAGAGGTCAGGGTACATGATAGTCACTCCCTCACTCGCTCCCTCGCTCACTGTGGTCGGAAAACATGACTGACCACCAGGTCCACATCGGGACCTCACCAGTGCCGCTTGATCTGGGTCGGCTCAATCTGGATGCGAGCCTCATAAGAAGCCCCAGAAATCAAGAAAGGATATGTAGTTGTCGGCGAGCTGAAAGAAATCACCGCGACGCCCTGGGCTGCAATATCTAACGCCCCCGCCCCCCGCACTTTGAATATGAGGAACAACCCCAACCTCTTCTATATCCCTCAAGGCGCCGACGTCGTCGGCTCGACACCGGCGGAACAAGTAATATCCGAGAAAAAGAAGTCAGTATCACTCGGACTTGCATAGTCTGCGACTGGTTCATTATAACAGGCACATGCGTAAGTGGTCCCAAAGTCAATACCGTACCCAACAGAAAGGGTGCCGACGTTTTGGTCTATGCAGTATTGTCGACATGTCGCGTAGTCGATCTCCGTGGCAGAGCTATAGTAGCCGACAAGCGACGCACCATTGTTAAAACCTTCAAAGGCACACGTTGACGGCGTGGGTGGATTTGTGGTTGTCGTGGTTGTGGCACTTGTCGTAGTAGTAGTAGTGGTAGTAGTAGTGGTAGTAGTAGTGGTAGTAGTAGTGGTAGTAGTTGTCGTGGTCGTGGCACTTGTCGTAGTAGAGGTTGTGGTTGCCGTGGTTGTGGCACTTGTAGTGGTAGTTGTAGTAGTTGTAGTAGTTGTATTGATTGTCGTGGTAGAGGTTGTGGTTGTAGAAGGAGTGGAAGTTGTCATGGTTGTGGCACTAGTCGTGCTAGAGGTTGTAGTTGTAGTAGGACTGGAAGTTGTCGCCGTGGTATCTGAAGTGGTTGTCGTGGTTGCAGCACTTGTCGTGGTAGAGGTTGTAGTTGTAGTAGGACTGGAAGTTGTCGCCGTGGTGTCTGGTGTGGTTGTGGCACTTGTCGTGGTGGAGGCTATAGTAATAGTAGTAGATGTAGCTGTAGGACTGGAAGTTGCCGCCGTTGAGGTTGTCACCGTGGTGTCTGAGGTGGTAGTGATGATTGTCGACGACGACGAGGAGGCGGAGGAGGAAGTGGAGGTGATGGTGGCGCTACTACTGGAAGATGTGCTATTTTCACCCCATTGCTTGATAGTACCAACACGTGTCGTCCAACTTCCCACGGAACTCGATGTCGTGGCGGAGGTTGTGCTTTTGCCAGCGCCGCTAGTTGAGGAGATGGCGCTCGTGTCGAGCTGTAAATGGGAAGAAGTTGAACGAGGATGCGCAAATGAAGAATGTGAGGAGCCACCGGTGTGCCACGCATCCTGAGTCCTGCTCGGACGCCGGGGAGTGCTCCAGCTCTGTGTCTGCGACTGCCATTCTCCTCCTGTTGGCAAAGGACTAGCTGTAATATCGCCGATCTTTGTGCTATAGTCCCAGTCCAACCATAGCTGCTGATGAGTTGCAATTGATGAGATGGAAGTCGTCGAAGTCTGCCGATTCCCGCTGGACCAAGCCTCATCATCGGAACCTATTCGGCTTGGGACAAACCCGGAGTTTCCTCTCCGCCCACCCCAGGTAGAAGCTGATGTGGTTGACAAAGAAGGTATATGAGTAGGCCATTCCGACCAGGGTACGGGATCATCAAGTGATGCAGCAGTAGGAAACCAGACAGGAGCGCCATAGCTCACTGTCACGACAACTTCGCAAACATGGTCATCTCGACGTTCGAGCTGGCTGGCAACGACTCCAAAAAGGGCGATTAACGCACATGTCCAAGGATGGATGTGCATATCTTCGAAGAACCGGGTGGAACGAGCTTGAGAGCTCTAAAAGGAATGACAAAGATCGGTGAAGGTAAGAGCGCAGCAAGAAAGAAACAAGGATGAAGAGGGACTGGAAGAAGGGTTGAAGCCATGTCCTCGAAGTACTCCGTATTGAAGATGTTTTCATTGCCGTAGACACGCTTGCTACTGCGAAGCGAAATGAGCAGCGAGCACATGGCCGAGTTGGGAAGCCTTAGTGCGTGCTCGCTGCTCATCTCGCATCGTAGTGGGGAACGCGGTTCATTTTGGGATTTTCAGAAGTTTCAGCTGCCACACGGCCAAGACCCAATAGTTCTTGGGAGCGGCGCGCCTCTCAGAAATACATTACACGAGATATGTTGCTTGCTCGCAATGAATCTTCTACAAAAGCTGGAAAAAAAAATTTGCAAGCGAGTACGGAGTACTCTGTACCATGTTTTGTACCCTTCCTTGTGAACTTTCCGTCTGGGCCACTCCAGTGGACCGTTCAGCTAGCCACATACAACACCCGTTGTTGACCTGACAGGGGATCTGACGTTTGTAATGGGGCGGTATGGCATTGTGGTATCTATGAAGGAGAGTGTGTGACTGCTAGCTATCTGTGTTATGAGTGCCAAGGCGCTAATGCCCAACACCGGCCAAAAGTCATGGGCGCTAAGCCTCTTGGCGGCGCCCTCGATGCTACTCTTCGCACTCCGTACTCGGTACTCAACATAGCAATTATACAGCCATTTTATATAGAAAAATGATTATACAATAGCGCATTTGATAGTAATTGAGCGGGCTATCAGAAAATCGAGCCCATAAGGCTCAGAATCTAGATAGACGACGAGGTTGAACAGTAGACTGGCAGGCTGAGCAAATCACGCCGAGGCTGAGCCGAAGTTGAGCCAGGCCACATGATCTAGGAGTAGGGCGGCAGGCAACTGTCCTAAACGGGTGTCGAGGCTAGGCACTTTGTCGCCGAAAACCGACTGAAATCACTTCTCGATGTACCATGCCAGGTCGCTGTTCGGGTTGAACTCGAATTCGGTGAATCCGTTGCCCATGAACTTGAACCGGTTAGGCGAGCGGTACTCGATGTCAAAGTCCTCGACGCGCAGTTCCCCACCGAGAATACGTTTGTACAGCATGCCACTGCCGGCGAACAGGGCTGCTACCCGGCCGTCCGTCGTTCCCTGCTTATACCAACTCTTACAGGGGGCCGTCCAGACTAACGACTTGTGGATCTCATCCGAGTATCTGACGTGCTGGTCGACAACGGCGGTATTTGGCGTGAAGCTCTTGATGTCCTCCTCTGCCATTTTTCGGATCCATTTGACAAAGTAGTCGCCGTTCCAACTCATTCCTTCCAAGAGAGATCCATGGCCCGCAAGGGCATTGGGCCCGAGCATTGTGAAGTAGTTGGGCATATCCTTCGCCCCTACCGAGAAGTAGGACTCGGGTTTGTGTGACCAGGCTTCACGTAAGTCGACGCCGTTGCGGCCGACAGTCGGGTAGTTTGGTCGGAAGGAGACGTCGAATCCGGTCGCGCAGACCACTATTATTTCAAGTCGGCAAATGATTTTTAGGGGAGAAGGAGAGAGGAAATTGAAAGGCAATTATGATACTTACAGACGTCAATCTCGTGGGCCTGGCCATCCGCAGTGTGGATAGTGTTCTCGCCAACGTGGGTTATGCTACTGTTGGTGATGTGGCAGTTGGGCAACAAAAAGGCCTCGAGATAACCCTCTCCCGGAGTGATTCGTCGACAACCCAGTGACCATTTGGGGATGAGAATGTCGCATAGGCGGGGGTCGTGGTTCAGCCGCTCACGCATATGCTCTTCGGCGATCTTCATGGCTTCCTTGTTTTCATTCGAATCTTTGATAAACTGTTCCAAAATGATTAGCATAGCCGCAGCACCACAAGCGACACTTGCGATCCGGGAGTGCACCGCTCACCATACGAAAGGCTTTGTTGGTTCTGGAAATCATGGCCCTGCGGTGCTCCTTCATCGTCCCAGGCTCTTCGCGGAATCTCTTCTTCTCCCCCTCTGTATAGATAGGGTTATTACCAGATTTGTCCGATTGACTCAGATGCTGAGAGGGCGGGACGCGATAATAGATCCACGACGGGCCCCTAACAAAGTTGGTCACGGTGGTGCCCGGCAATTTGACCAACGCAGGCACGATCTGGATGCCAGAGGAGCCGTTTCCAATGACAGCGATGCGCTTGTTCGAATAATCGAACTCATGTTCCCAGTTAGCCGAGTGGACGCGGTGGCCCCTGAAATCTTTCAGACCCTTGATGTTGGGCCATTGGTAGGTACTACAACGGTACAATGTTAGCTTGTATCCACTGCGGCGCTTTACAGGCAGACTCGCTCAAGAATACCCTGTCCGTTGATCAGGACATCCGCCCACTCGTCCCGGCTTTGGCCTTCTTTGTTAACCGTCACCTTCCACTGTCCACGCTCATCGTCCCAAAAGGCTCCAACGACCCTTGTGTTGAGCTGGATATCTCGGTAGAGGTTCCATTTCCGAGCTGTGCGGACAATGTATTGCTCGATCTCGGCACCGCTCGAGTAAAATCGAGTCCATTCCGGATTAGGATCGAAGGGGAAAGCCTGCATTTGAGATGACATGAGCCTGTTGTTCTGTGCTATCCCCTCATTGCACCACCAGAGAGACAGACGAAGAAAGCTTACGTAGATGTGGGAAGGAACGTCACACTGGACTCCGGGATAGGTATTTGCGAGCCACGTGCCACCGACCTCAGAACGTTTCTCGAATATCGTGTGGTCGACAATGGCGTCCATTTCTGGGAAACGATGCTGAAGCTTGTGTGCCATCAGCAATCCGGCGAATCCGGCGCCGATGGTGATAACTCGGATCTTGCGAGGGGTGAACGCCAGGTGGTCGCTCCTGGGGATGTAATAGGGATCATTCTTTGGAGAGCTGCCATGGTATCCACTGTCCTTTGGTGGGATCTCAGCGTTGTGATGCTGCAGCGTCGAGCCGAGCAGCTTAGTGGATGAAGCGCAGTCTAAGACCTTTTTGATGGCTGGGACTTCTGCGTCTGAACCTCCAGCCGCTCGAGGCGTGAGTTGCTCCTCCGTCCACGCCATAGTGTCCGTCCTCGTACTGTGAGGTTCTGGATTTTACCTCACCGACGAAAGCAAGGAGAAATTTCTTGCACTGTTGCTCTGCCTTGAATGGTTCGAGAAGTTTGTCAAGGGGTTTTGGGCTTTTTTGACGGTTTGAATCTTTGAGCGCTTACGCTTCTCTTATGCTGCACAGATGTTTCCCTCGTTCTAAGTATGGGCTCAGGAGCCAAAGGTTCGAGGTTTCGGCGGGACTTCAGCAGTCCCAAATCGGCTTCCCGTTGACCTATTGATCAAAATAAGTCATCGTACTGATGACGAGCGTTAATATCTCTGCATCCTGCTCAAGTTCTGCTCCATTCGCCGCGAGTCGGCACGTCCTCTCCCATGGCCTTCGGCTTGCGACGTCTAGGCACCCATTCCCAGGAGCCAATAGGCACTGTCGGCATACGAGCCGGTAGATTCATCTCTAACGAGGTCTGCTCTTTTCCAATGATGTCAGCTTGCATTCTGGTAGCAGCTCCCGTTAATATCTGGCTCTGATTGGCGATAGTTGCCGTGCCATGTTTGCCGGAGCCGGATTGCCGGAACTTGGGGCACCTCTCTCCACAACCTCATGCCCCGAACGACCATCACCAAGTAATGACAGGCGATCCGCCGCTATAGATCTGGAATCCCTCACCTAGCAAAGGACACCTTGCCGATTTTGGCGCTTAAATCCAGACCCTTCTTGAAGGCAGATACATTTACAGACAGCATCTCAATAGAATTTTCCTTCATCATGGAAAGCGAGAAACTGTCAAGTTTGATGGAACTACGCTGGCTTGATGCTGGAATGACGATGATAGAACGCTCCGTCCCCTGCAACTTCTCTGTCTCTACGTGACCTATACATATGCCATATGACAGGACCCCTGAGGATCGTAAGCAGTAGAGCCTGTTGAAGGGCAATGCTATAACGAGTGGTCATTCCATAAATTTCTATCTGTCCTACAAAGGGCTATGCAGTTGGAATCGCAAAGCCCAAGTGCGCCATAAACAGTTCTGCTTAAGTGATGGAAATCGCATTTTGACATCACTCATGATCGGCTAAACAGACTCCCTACGTGCCGCCTGGTCTTTAAACGACTTGCTCGCACCTATCTTTTGAGTTGTTGAATCAGCTGTTCAGGAACAATACAGCAGCCTCGCCCCTTGGCCTCTTGTCGGGCTGAATCGCTCCTCTCAAATGGCATTCTCGCGGGTCCGTAGCCGGGAAGCATCTTGGTGGCTCTGATATGCTCGCAAAACCGGTCTGCCACCCACTGTACGTGGCCGAGCGGCTGAAGCACACTTTGGATCAAAGGCCACGATCAAAAACCCGAAACCCGTGGAGAAAGTTGCCGGCTCGGGACTGCCCGCAGTGACGCCCAGGAGCAGCACCACCATAGCGAGGCCACTGCCTTTATGGCCGCCCCAGGCGGTTAAGGCACCCTCTATAGCCTGGAGAGGTTCGACGGTCGAGTGGCCCTCTTTGTCGATAGCCGATCCTGCAGGTAGACTGGCCGAAATTGACTCGGTGGGAAGTCAGTCTGCTTATTGGTCCCTTGTGCCGAGTTGCGCAATTGCCACTGACCCACGGCACTTTCGCGTCTTACGGTCCGTAACAGGCAACAATAGCACATCTGACTCAACCCTTGCGCATCTCTTGCGTGCGCTTGACGGCATCAAGGCCACCAGCTCCAACACACCGTGGGTGCGATGTCTATCTGCCCTCATGCCAAAGCTCTTCAGCAATATCAATGGACTTGGCTCCTCAGGTGAAGAAATCAGGTTGTGCATCATGCGCAGTCTGCGCAATCCCTCGAAGACGTACTCTCCCCCGACATACCGTAGCCAAGAAGGAGATCGACTGGACATCAGAGCGAGCGCAGTGGATCACGAGGGATTATACAATATTTCTCTTTTCAAATACTTCTGCACATAATTGTCGCGGCCATGATTCTACAGACACAGTGCCGAATACGGTAGATGAGGATTGCCTTTCGTTATCCATAGTCTAGCAGCATCTCCGGTAAGTGAGGGCGAGGCTCTCCTAGTTCGTCACTCGACGGCGCACGAAGGCTAAGGACCTTGTACGGAACATGGCCTGTCGTATGGACTGCAATCGGCACGGTACACGCGGCTTCGAAGCTCACATTCTCTCAGATTTGAAATTGAAGATTTCCCTTCTCAATGATGGATCACGCAAAGCCTCCAGTCTAGGCGCTGGCGTCGCGTACTCTGAAGTGCGATCAGGATCTGCTATATGGCTGACGATGCTGTCGCTACCTTTATGCACAAATCCAGCTACCTGGTCGACGTACTTGAGACATAATTTCACATTAGAGCTAGCTTGCTTGATGATTCTGGGGTGCTCACGGCCAACAAGGGTGCTATCGTTGTCTGGTGCGCCTAAACTAGCCGATTTTGTCGGGTTGAGTGCGATGGCCAAGGCCGGCACAAATATATAGCCGTTTGGCACGTTGGAAATTGGGATTGGTTTGAGGACGGTATTGTGTGTGCCTTGCCTGATCAGAACGAAATTCGGGGATACATATTTGTATCACCTTCAACTTCGTGTCCAGCCTACTTGAGAATCAAAAGGGAGACGTCCTTTTGCAGGCCGACGATTGTATGAGATGGGAGTGAGAGAAGCCGAGACGCCCATTCAGAGCAAGACAGATGCTTAAAGCCGCAGGTCCAAGACTTGATCCTCAAGTGTAGACCCTCATTGATCAGCCAAACGATCAAGAGACACTGGGATGAAGCATAGGTGTAATTGACAAGGTCAATGGGATCTGCCCGCAATAAGAAATGGAGTGGATTGTCAAGGTCGCTGCGCGAGCATGTCTAAAGCGCTGCCAATATATCCGTCAAAATTAACAAGATATCTGAATTGGTCTCGGATCCCAATTACCCCTCGAATCTTTTCTGCGTCCTTAATTATAGAACCGAATTGGCCAGCGTCGCTTCGACTATATCTCCCAGCCATTTCCATTTCAATTCCCTCCCGAGCTCTCTGGCCTTCCAGTCATTCAAGCATTCGGGGAAGAAGGGCACATTGGTAACTCTCAAGGCAGCATCATGCGCAAGGATCACGAAGATGTTCTCGTCACCATCAAATTCCTGCATGCCACGGATCGTCTCTAAAACTTTGTCCATATCATGGCCAATAGCTGGCTGCCATAGCGGCTCCTTAGGATCTCGACCTCGCGACACCTGAAGATCTTCGTACCACGAGCATGGACAGAAAGGGACCTGTTGCTGCTGTATTTCTATTACAACCTGCTCTGGCAGTGCTTGATACGTCGATGGCCGAAACTCGCCGCAATGATGCGCAGCATCTCCTCCCAAGAAGAGAAACGTATCCGGAGATGTAGTGGTACGAACCAAAGCGCACAAGTGCCCTACGCAATGGCCCGGTGTGTCGAGAAGGTATAGTGACCCGTCGCCGAAATAGTCATATGCGGAAAACTGTCCGATTTGGACCACACCGGCCTCTTGGAAGGTGATCTCACGCAAGTTGCGCCCCCTGTACGTTTTTACTTTAGTTTATCCCGTATGGGCGTATGAAGTGTGGCTTTCGGCTTACTCATAATCGCTCTTCGAGATTCCTCCAAGAGCTGAATTTCCATCCCCGCCTAGGAAGTGATCCTTGAAACCCCTACCTACAACCAAATCTGTTCTAGGCCCAAAGGTTGACACGTCGCCGGTGTGGTCCCAGTGAGCATGGCTGTAGAAGTCGTTTCGTGTTAGCCATGGCTAAAAGCCGCACCTTGAAACTCACCTCCAAATCACGGCGTTGATGTTATCCTTATCTATTCCACCCTCGCCCAAAACCTCGGAAACATCTTTCTCGGAACTTGGCTGGTAACCACACTCCTTGATGCGCTTGACAATGGCAGGGGTCATATTCTGCCAATCCTTGCGAATGCCGAGGTCGAAGAGGACTTTCGTGCCAGATGGATGCTCTATTAAGAAGGAAAAAGAGGGCACAGGTTTACAAGTTCTGTACCCAGTAACCTGCGGCGCGTAGAGCTTCTCAGCTGCGACGTTCGAGATGGAGGAAACATCGATGAGCTTGACAGAGACCGATGTTGATGACGATGGGATATTCAGCGGCACTTTGACCTTGGCAGAAGCCCCGTTTGCAAGAACAGTAGTGCTGGCCATCCGAACTGTGTATTTCAAAGATATAGGAGACTTTCAAACCTCGAAATATCTCAGGTTTGTTAGGGTTGACACAACATCTATGTAATCTAGAAACGAGCAGCTTTTCGGTTAGTCAATGCTGACTCTACTGGACTTCTGCTCCAAGGCTACAATGTTCACAGCAACGAAAGTGCCGAGCTGGCTCAAACGCCTGCGCCCAGTGTGGAACACTGTCTTCAGCATCGTCCATTGGGTCGGTAAATGAGGATTTTTCAGGTAATGGTCGCCTTGGGTTTGGGCGGCGGTTGGAGAAACCGGGTTGAAAGCTTGGAAACGGCTCTCGTTCTTGAGTCGAGAAACTCTCCCGTTTGGTCGAGAGAGCCGGGCTACCGAATATTTACAGTGGGTATACCAATCTGTGGACAGGCTGCTGCCTTAGCTGTATATGCTTGTGCCCTGTGACGAAAGGGCTGTGGAACCCCTTTTCAAAGCAGAGAACGAGGTAACAGCTACTCGATTTCGTCGACGAAAAAAAAGGATGGGTACCAAAGCACCAACCTAGTGAGCCCCACCTTCATAGCGCCAATATTTCTCACGGTAGCCAAGTTCGTCATCGATCGGCTATACATAAGTAGGTTGCCGGAGGCAAGCGCTCCGGTCGAGAACGACATACGCAATATGGTTATAGCGACGGCAATCTTCCCTCCGCGAAACCGAGATCCTTATTTGAGCATTGGTCTTCACTTGTGCTAATGGCGGGGTGGTCGTGCCAGGTGTTTGGGCTTCGGGCGAGTTCAAGGAACTGTTCTCGGGTTTTCGGGCTCCCTCCTCAGCCGACGAATCCCGGCTCTTACGACCCTATGATATCAGCAACACACGAACCTTCAGATCATGTTTTAAAGACAGGGATGTCTCGCTGCTGCCGTCACTTTGCAATAGGTGACACAGCAAGGTAACTACCACTGAACCTCTCTCACTATCTTGTTTGCCAATCGACCTACAATTCTCTCCAACATCAAGTCGACTGTTAAAGTTCGATTAACATGGATCTTTCGGTGCTGAATGGCAGGGGAGCGATTGTAACGGGTGGTGGTTCCGGTAAGAATTGACCATTTTCTGGACCTCGACAACCTATATTTCTCATACGGCCTTTAGGCATTAGCCTAGCTTTTGTCAAACTCCTTTTCCAGGCCGGCTGCAACGTACTCATTGCAGACCTGAGGCTTCATTCCGAAGCCGAAGAATTCATCAACTCAATTGGCTCACGCAGTGATCTGGCAACGAAGGGGAGTGATGGAACTCGCATCGCCTTTCACAAGACGAACGTGACGGTGTGGAAAGAATTGGAAAATCTATTTGATGTCTACAAGTCGGAGTTCGGCGGTGTTCCGTACATTGTGTGCTGCGGCGCAGGGTTGTATGAGCCAGTGAGCGAGATTACCTACCCTGCAACAATGCCATATCCACGCATTCTTACTCGTTTTAGACAACAAAAGGATGGTGGGATGAAAAGGACGACGATGACACCTATCTTCTATTCCGCGTCAATGTCTTCCATCCCATGAAATTGTGCCGTATCGCTCTGAGAAAGTGGTTAGGTGCAAACGCTGAAGGAATCATCTGCTTCATCTCCAGCACCAGTGCACAGAAGGCCAGCATTGTTACCCCGCTATACCAGCCCTCCAAGCATGCTATTAGCTGCTTCACGAGATCCATGGCGCCACTGCAAGATTTGTGCGGTGTGAGAAGCTGTGCTGTTGCTCCAGGGTTGACAGCATCACCTATGCTTTTTGGCTCTGCGGCGACACTAAAGCTTTTCGATCCAGAAAAAGACACAGAGAGACTTGCCACTCCACAGGCCGTAGCTGAAGGGTTGATGGCGGTCGCGATGGATCGAGAGCACTACCCGCCCGGAACTGTCTTGGAGGTAACGGGGCCTAATGGCCGAAGAGTGGTTAATATGTTGAACGATCCAGGACCAGCAGCAAACACTTTTCTCACTGGCAAAACGGTCGGTCTGCAAGATGTAAAGGCATGGATTGAGAAAGAGCGCGCTGGAAGCATATCATGATGAAACAGAACTGAGATGCAAAATACGATTCCAAGTCACCTGCAACCTCGCCTCGGCCTTCTGCTGCTTCTCAAAACTCAGTACTTAATTGGCCCGTTCCGCCGAGGCATTCGGCACATTGTTGTACTAAGCCCAGATCAGTTTGCCGTAAGTGCGGGGTTGCCGAACCCCCATGGGCTGCCCCCATTCACACTTCCCCCAGGAAGCAAAACTTCAACTACCTTGTACACCTGGTCAGCTCGATTCAGGTTCAGAACGCTGTTGAACTACTAATTCAACCAAGATCTCGGAATAACCTCAGCCAAAGTGGGAAGCGAACGACCCTTACCGCTGATTAGTGATGTCTAGCTGTCGTCGTGTGCTGAGTGGTCTTTCAAATTGGAGTCGGTTTTCCTCCCTTTCAAGCCTTTCTCTTTAGCAATGGCGGACGGGTTGAATTTTTATTCCTTCACTGCTTCGCAGCCTATCAAGAAACGGGCTAGACTTGCCTGCCAATACTGCCACGAAAAAAAGGTTGACAGCATAGCGAGCCCCCATTTATGCGAGAAAGCGCTTACTTCTGATAGGTGAAATGTGACTTAGAGTATAGAATCAAACTAGGATCAGAGAAGTGCTCAAATTGTTCAATAACGGGCAATTCGTGTCGGTAAGTATACCTGAGTTTTCTATCTCTGGTCGTTTCGGTTTGTACTAAATGGCTCATAGCCTTCGCCCATCTAGACGCACTCGGCCTCGTCGTTCTGAGACCCGAGCGCCTTTCCGAAGTCCCGCGTACATACAACCATTGGGAAGGCCCAACTTGCAACCTGTATTCTCCAATATTGATAAAGATGAGACTGCGATCGAGGGGCCTTCCCAGTCTCGGATTTCCACACAGCAAGACCAGAACTCGCCCGGATTAGGCTTTACTGATGATCCTGCTCCGACCGAGACCATTCTGAATGCTTTCACGTGGCCAAACAGCACTTCTATAAATCAGGAACAACAGATTGTTTCCTTTACTAGGCCAGTGGGTTCAGCTACCGGACACAAGTCGACTATCCAGGCAGCAGGCTATATCGGAGACACAGGTGTGATGCAGATGTACGCCCCTGAGACCCGTCTCACAAGCTCAAGCCCTCCCACTTCATCGGCGGAAGAAGATCGTGATCCATACGACATAGCTCCACCAGAGATTCAACAAAGTTTTCTGGAAACATATTTCGAATATTGCTTTACCTGGTGCCCTGTGCTTGACAGGGATGACGTCCAAAACGATCTAGAGAGATCACCCCTTCTTGTCAACGCACTTTCACTGTTGGGCAGCCAAGTACAGCCACCGTTGCTTAAACATGCAGAGCCGACTGTCTACTACGATCGAGCCAAAAGTTTTTACAATAACGAAAAAGAACCGAACCTGATCACTTGTCTGCAAGCCATCATTCTGTTCTACTGGTGGAGTCCTCGAGCTCCCACTGTGGTATCTAGGGACTCTACATGGTGGTGGACTGGTATTGCGATACGGCAAGCACAACAGCTCGGTCTTCATCGCCGGTCGAGGCTTGATCAGCGGGGTACGCAATGTGCTAGTCAAGGCCTACGTCGGCGGATTTGGTGGACATTGTTCGTAAGTATTGTGTCATGGTGCAGCTACTCTTACCGCCTATCTGACCAAGCAGGCAAGAGAACGCCTTACAGCCATTTCTCAGGGTCGTCCAGTGATGATCGACCCTGAAGATTCTGACTTACCTCCACCTTCGCTGGCAGATTTCCCGGCTCCTGATCTCAAGGCCGAAATCTTCATCCAATGGGTTCGAGTGTGTGGGATCGTTGGTAAAGCCGGGAAATTCCTCTTGCGAGCAGCGGATCACCCGCAACTACCTTTTCCAAAACATATAGCAGAAGAGCTAACAGACTGGGTCGAGACCTTACCAGAGCACCTGGCACTCCCATTCAGTACCGAACGGGCAGTCAAGTTCAACCGCGATGTCCACCAGCTCCATCTCCCCTATCTAGCCGTCATAATCTTGCTACATCTCAAGCCAACCTCTCAACCTGTGCCTGGCGACTATTCGGCTCCTGTAATGGCTGCTTCTTGCATAGCACGCATCATGCGAGATTTCTTGGCCCGAGGAGGCATCCGCTTTCTCCCCGCAATCACATGTTGGTACTGTGGTATCGCCTCTCTGGCGCTCCTGCACGTTCGACGAATCGAGAGCCTGACAAGCATCGTCGATGACGACATTCGCGCACTTTATGCGGCTTTAAATCAGCTCAAAACAATGTGGCTTAGCGCCAACATTTTTCTGAAAGGCATAGATCGGCTCCGGCAGGCTTATCCGCTTGTCGAGACTTCGCAAAGCCCTCCAAGCGCGCCGTCAACTGAAGCTGCCGGCCCAGATTTGAGAGGTGTGAGATCTACAGAACAAGCACCTTCCGTGCATACTGAAAGAGTTGTTGAAAGTGTGAACTGGGTCCAATATTTCCCATTTGCCACCGTAGAGACCAGCACAGTGGCCGGCATGCTCTTGATTGAACATGCTGGTTTGCAGCTTCAAGACAATAGCTGGTATGCTAGGAACTTACTGCCTTTCCAGGCTCAGCTGGATGATTGCTCTGATCTGTTGCACCCTTTTATCGACGTCGCCTCATATTTTCCTTCTGCCTAGGGCGACGGGGTAGGAAAGGTAACAATGCGAGTTAGGCAATACTTGTGATTGCTATAAGGTGGTTTCCTCGGCCTTGATGTTATGTGCAGGTGAGCCGCACATATCCAACGAGTTCTAAGACAATTGAGGGTTTGATGGGACACATTCGCCGGATGTCCTATACAACGGCTTTTCAAAAGCCACGAGTGCCGTCAGGACGACCTCCCTCTACGGAGAGCTTTGTGACTTCTTGGAGTATCATCCCAACCAGTGAAGGATCAATGTAGGGTGGTGGAAAGAGGGAAATCGGAAACGAATTCAAGGCTTGCCGACTGACATTCGCGAGCAAATAAGCAAACCGGGAGTGTCTTATCACAGAATCCGAAATTGGGCTCGAAACAGAGGCGCCTACGCCTTCGCGGAGCCGCTGAAAGACTTTGCTTCTCTCAGATGGTAACGCTGTCGGCCTTGCGTCGAAGGACGACTTCCCATATCTCAGAAATCCTTCCTGCACCATGCGGGCCACCATTATAAATGTTGTTGTTCTGGGCTGAATACTCGTCAGCTTTGGCCAGCGTTACCAGGAATCGATTCATCAATCGATCGATCCTTTCTTAGCACTCCACGGTAAGGATCGATCGATCGATCGTCTATCATTATCCCCAGCGAATATCGGAGATGGAGGGGACGTGCAGACTACCTGAATTTCAAGTGTTTGTGTTTGTAGATTGGATACATCAATATCATTGGACCACGCGAGAGTCTTGTAACTGGAGACGACGAGTTGTTGTCTTTGCCTGATTCCGTTAGATGATGCGGTTTTGTACGACCCTGGACCTGGCTCTATACAATAATACTGGCGTATCGAACATTACATTGAGTATTCAATTATTTCAACTGTTTCACGGCCTAGAACTTCATGTTTTCATTGGCTTGCCTCGGGTTGGGCACAGGAACGACACATCCCGAAGAACTGTTGACCATTGCCAGCTCCAACTTCGATCCCACCCACTCACTTCGCAGTGAATGTGTCCAGTCTGACAAGCTGGAAATGTGTCGAACACGGAAATTTCTGCTCAAAGACTCAAAGAGTGTACCTGAACGCTGGATTTCCTTGAATGACCATGTCTCCGCGGTCCGCTCTACGGTTACAATAGCTGAAATAAAAGAAGTTCTTTACAAGAATGCATATTTGAACGGCCTTTGTTCGATTAGCTTATAGCTTGGATTTGACCCGGGAGGGGTTACTTACCTGGATAGCAATACAGGTGCAGATTGCAGGCGTGTAGGTCGGTGCATCATGGGCACGGAAGATATTGCCAGCAATGATACCACCTACGGCGCCACCCATTGTCATCAAGCATAAGGTCAGTGCTCTCTTAGAGTGGCCAACTATTTCAAGATTAGCGAGTGCTCGTTGATTTACCATGGGAAATATGAACACTTACGCATATTTGAATGTTGATAAGCCGTTTGAGTTGGGATGTTGCCGGCAATACCCAAAACACCGAGGAAAACGCCACCATAGCGTGTAGAGCTGGTTTTGAGAAAAGCGACACTAGAAACACGTCAGAATACTGGACTTAGAGATATCAGATTGGATCCCCGTGCTCACATCGAAACTCCTACTATGTAGAGGACGGAGTTAAGAACCATCGAAGGTCCCCTTGTATGGAACTTGTCATTGAACCAAGATACAATATACATCCACTAGAACTAGTTAGTAGGGTAACTGTAACCAGGTGTGGGATTTGAATCACCGGAAGTGCGGCCGCAAATGGCGGGAATGTCAATAGATTCGCCCTTCCAGCTGAATAACCAAATCCCTGGCTCAGGATGATAGGTAGGAAGAAATTAAAGGCGTAAAGTCCTGTATTCTGGGCCATTTTAGACGAGTCCCAGAGAGTTCCTAAGCACGACTTACATTTATCACCACGAAAGAAGCGTACTCCCAACACTCCCACTCAAGCAGATGTCGAAGCATACGTCGCCAACCAAACTCTTCGGACGCAGTCTGGCCGCGGTCCTGCTCGATATAAGCCATGAGAGCGGCTTTGTCGTCTTCATTGAGAAATGCACGACGGGTCACAAAGTTTGTTCGTGTGGCTGCCATCCGTCAGCAACATATCATAGGTACGACTGTGTGATTGAACCTTGATCCGGGAAGTCGACAAGGACCACATATGCCACCAATGCCACAGCACACGTAGCGACGCCCTCCTAAGCTCTCTTAGTATTTTCCAACTCGCATAGGACCCATTGTCTTACAAGAATAAAGATCCAGCGCCATCCATCAAGACTCGAGGTGCCGTCCATTTTCTCGATTCCGTACGCCAGAAGGCCCGATAGGCCACTGGCAGCAATTACAACCATGTAGAAAAGTGCAATTCTTTTTTGAAATTCGAACCTCGCGTAGTACATCTGCATGACGAATACCGCTCCTGGAAGAAAGGCACCTTCAAAGAGACCAAGTAGAATGCGACAAACCAGGAGCTCGCCCCAGCCTTGTAGGAAACCTTGGCCTATCGTAATGACCCCAAAACACAGGACAAACGTTGGAAGGGTTTTTGTCGGGCTCAACTTTCGGATCATCATGGTAGCCGGTATTTCGATGATAGAGTACCCAACGAAGAAGATCATGGTGATAACGGAATAGCGGTTTCCAATGCTGAGCTTCAGGGCATTGCCCATGCCAGCAATATTTGCCTGTGTAGGGTCTCAATATCTTTAGTCACTTGTACAATGACTGCGCACTTACGTTGGCTAGATTTGCCCGATCAAGGAAAGCACAGATGTAGAGCACTGCCAACATGGCAGTCAGACGGAAATCGAGGCGTCTTCGGATTCGCTTCAGTTGCTTTGAATTTCCATGGAGAGCGCTGACGGCAGACGGGAACTCAAAGGACTGCGCTGACTGCGTGTCCTCCAACCTGATGGTGTCAAGCACATTCTCAGCCTTCCAAGTGTCGGTTTCTGAGCCCATTTTCTCGAGTTCGGTGAGAGCCGATGATGGTGTTTAGTCGATGTGTACAGACGATGTGTACAGACGATGTGTACGGACGATGTGTACAGTCGATGTGTACGGACGATGTGTACAGACGATGTGTACGGACGATGTGTACAGACAGGGTTACTTAGGACAAGCGACCGAGGCATCGGGAATATATATACACCAACATATATCCAGGTCTCACACGTAAACACCAAGCCTCGCAGCTGCAAGATTGTTCGGGACTAGAGCTTTCCCCAAGTTCTTCCCCATACTTCGGTGTGAGGCTGCATTTCGGCAATGCTATTTGGGACTAGCTCGTCGGCAACCTAAGCGAATAGGAATTGGTTTTAGTCGTAGGCTATTTTTGCCAGGTCACTAGTGGAACTGCACTGAGATGGTAAAGGTAAAAATCTGTTGGATTGGCAGGATCGTGAATAGGTCATGGATTGGTCTGTCTGCCTGTACCTGCCCTCAGGCCAGGTCTGATCGTCTATATACAAAATGCTAGGTGCCAGGAAGACCTCTCCTAAGTCCTGCCATGTCGCAAGACCTCCTGGCACTAGGCGCAATCAGGTAACGCCTGAAGCGCACGTAAAACGGCAACTGTCTCAGGCGCAACACACCCCCCCAGCCATTGCAGTGATTGCTATAGATCACAGGAATGGCTGTATATCAACCAGATTGAGTTGCCTGATAAACCGATCGAACTTCTGCCTAGGCAATGCCTTTGTAAACCCATCTGCCTTCATGCCGTCTGTCGACACCCATTCGATCTCAATCGAGCCGTTTTGGACTTCCTGACGCAACCAGTGTTGGTGTATATCGATGTGCTTCAGCTTGGTGTTGATCAATGGCCCATTTGCTGTGAGTAGTCGAATGGTCTGTGTGTTGTCTGAGAGGATGCACAGGCGGCTGTTGGTTGCGAATCTGATCTGTCTATAGAACCGTTGCCAGGCGATCAGTTCCTTTGCCGTTCGAGACAGTGCCAACAGTTCTGCCTCTGTACTTGAGGTGGTAACTGTCGATTGCTTTGAGGCCTTCCAATCGATAGGTCCTCCGTAAAGCTGAAAGAGGTATCCGTCTGAGCTTTTCCTATCTAGATTGTCAGCAAATGCCGCGTCAGAGTAACATTCCATTGGGTAGGTGTTAATATCAGGATCGTCCTGATTGACGATGCCATTGTACTGAATACCGCAGTACTTGGTGGCGACTAGATAACCAATCACTCGATTAGCAGCCCTGAGATGTTCTGGCCCTGGATTTCTGAGGTGTTGTGCTAGTAATGAACAGGCCTTTGCGATATCTGGCCTGGTGGTCACAGCCGCAAAGTTGAGCGATCCCACTCGTTGTTGGAACGCAAATATCTCTGTACTTGAGGCCTTTCCGTCAAAGATCTGCGGCAGGTCAATCGGCAATGGCGTAGTCGCCAGGACTCGCGTGTTTGCCTGTATCTCGAATCGTGCTGCTAGTTTATCAATATAGGAGTCCTGGCACAGCCATAGTAGTCGATTTGGCCTATCCCTGATGATTCGGATCCCTAGGAACCAATTGGCTTTATCGATCACTCGAAGGTCTAGTCGTTCCTTGAGTCGATTGACTAGCCGTTCGACGTCTTTGGCGACCTCTGTTCTGTATAAAATGATGATGTCGTCCACGTAAAAGAACAGGATCATCTCGTCGTTTGTGAGAACACAGTTGATGCCAGGCAATTGTTGAAGACCTAGTTCCTTCAACACTCTGACGAGGTAATCATGCCACAGAAGAGGTGCCTGTTTAAGGCCGTAAAGCGCCTTCAGAAGTAGTAGGATTTTGTCTGTTTGGTGGAATCCTTGTGGCCATTCCACTGTGACGTCTTCGTCTATAGCGCTGTTCAGGAACGCGTTAACTGCGTCCAGCTGCAGGATCTCTAGGTCGAACGCCGCGGCCAGGGCCATTAATGCCCTGAACACCTTAATCGTCAAGGTGGCCGCATAATTAACCCGCTCAGTGGTCTGTAGATCGCCGCGAACGCAGATGCGCGCCTTGAACTTATCTAGGAAGCCATCTGTGTCGAACTTATACTTGAAGACCCATAGTAATGGCAATGGCCTTTTGATAGTCTCGTTTGAATCGACTTCTTTAAAGGTCCCTCTGCGCTTCAATTGGTCGAATTCCTCTTGTGCGGCGGCCTCAAACTGCTGTCTGAATGGATGCCGTTTGAGATCTCTCCAATGCTTTGGTTCAGGAGGAAGATTGTCTCGATGTAAGCGCAGGCCATTTGTTTGAGTAGTAGTTGGCGATCGATCAACTAATTGTCCGTCTGCGACTGCCACAGAGAACGCGAAATGATAGCCATTCAATGAAGGCGTTTCATCCTCGACATTGCCTAGGATAAACTGAGCGAACTTGCGCTTACGTTGGCGCCTGGAACCCTCAGGTAGGATGTTGTCCTGGGAGTAGTCGGCAGATATCTCCTGGGCACGGCTTGCAACTCGATTATCCCTTGTCCGATTAGGTTCCGTACCTGTAGACACTTGTTCTGAGGTTATAGACGGCGTTTCCACCCCCCCAGATGGTAGCGGCGAGGTCTGTTCTAGTGTCGAGGCCAAATCTGGCGTCGTTCCTGGCGTTGGTAGCGGGGGTGTTATGCGCCTGCGCTTTTGCCTTATGCGATCGGCCTGGTCGCCTGTAGAACGAGGCCTAATTGTGATTGTTTCAGGGTCATTCTCTGAGTCATTCCCATCGACGCTGTCATCTGTAACATCGCCGGCATCCTCTAGATCGTTATCGGCACTTAAATCGATCGTTTCCGTGGCAGTTTCAAGGGTTGAGAGTTGCGTAAGTTGGTCCTGTTCCTGCGGATTGAAACGTTGGCCTTCGTCGAACGTGACGTCTCTAGTCCGGATAATAGTTCTTCCGGCCGGATGCCAGATTCGATAGATGTTCCGAGAGTCATAGCCAACTAGGTAGCCGATCAAGGACCTCGCGTCCAACTTCATCTTCCTGTCTATCTTCTTTCTCAAACAGAACGCTTTACAACCAACGATTCTGAGGTGATTAACGCTCGGTTTGCGCCCTGTGAGAGCCTCAAAAGGCGTCCGTCCGTTTAGTTGCATCACAGGCGTTCGATTCATCAAGTATCCTGCCGTTTTCACGAGTTCTGGCCACAAGGAATGGGGTAAATTTGCACCTATTCTCATGGCGCGAGCCTTCGTCGTGAGCGTTCTACCTGCGCGTTCTGCATGCCCATTTTGAGCCTGAGTGTGAGGAGCACTGAATTCAACCTTGAGGCCTGTCTGGCGCGCAAAGTTATCAAAGGTTTGCCCTAGGGCAGTGTCGTTGTCAATCCGTAGGATCCGAACGCGCTGATTGAACTGCAGTTCCACATGCTTGATGAAGGTCTCAATCACGCCGACTAGGCCTACTCGTTGAGGCTGAGTAAACACGCAATTAAACGAGGTCTTAAAACACTGGAAATGGACTGCGAATTGGTCCCCATTATAGCCTTCGTCAAGTTCCAGGAGATCGCAAGAGACTCTGTGAAATGGGTGTTCCTCTGGGTACTCCCTGTCGCTTGATCGAGAGATCAACTGGGTGGCCTTCGATAGGCGGCAGGCTTCACAGATTGCGTGATTTATCGCGAATGGCCGAATGCCTACCACGGCGCCTGGTAACCTAGCAAGTGCCTGTGGGCCAGGATGGGCCATTCTAGCGTGCCACAGCGCGGATAGATCATGGTCCTGCTGTGCCTTTTCTAAGGCAAACGCCGCTGGATGTGCCTGCGCTGCCATCTCCTGTCCTTCGGATCTCGCGCCTTG